GTTAGTGTAAAGCGCTTTGGGGGTCCGGAGGGACTTGAAAAGCGCTCTATAAGTTCAGTACCATTTACCATTTACCTTTGTACCATAGTTCTTGAAGGAAGCATCTCAGAAGAGGCTCTGGACTTGGACCATTTGAATTTCAAGTCCCTGATCTCCACTGGGACTTGTGAAAAACTCACCTAACAGTGTGAGTTAAAGATTGCCTGAATAGAGGGCTCCACATTACTTTTCCAGTCCATACTCATTACCTGTTCGAATTGACAAGGTCTGTCAGGCAGCCTCCCTACCAACTCACCAGGTCWGATGACAATTACAAAATCAATCMTTGACCTTTGGCCCAAGGTGGTCTGGTACCACGTACATTTATTGGATAACCCTGTGGTCAAACATGGGGTTTGTTGTCTAATAACAGACACAATTTGGGTTCAGACCAGGRTGACCATTCCTCTCCATCACCCCCTTCCAGATAACTCCTTCATTGCCCCCAGGGGCATTCACCCAGTAGAACTTAAAAATTCCCCAAGGGCTATAGCCACTCCGAAAATAATTAGTGGCCACTCCACTGACCTCACTCGGCCAGTTTTATCTCTTTGTGTTCCAAACCTTTGCTTGGTGTATATTTTTTTATTTTCCTTACCTATTTAGAGTTAGTAAACCATACACATATAAAAACATTATTCTGGAGSAACTAGGAGTTAGAAATATAAATATATTTTATTTAGGATGAAAAACAAAACTTAAAATCTAGTTCTCCTGAATAAGGACAAGTGTTTAAAACCAGTGTCCTCAACATTGAAATGTTGGGTCTCAGGAGATTATATGCATATTTTTAATCAATATAAGTTTAGCTTTTTTGTCTTTTAATGCCCRATCAGAACATATTCAGCTTCAGAACAGAAGTCCARCAGCATTTTGTGGTAAATCTTTGGATTTGTTTCAAACATTTCATCAAAAATCCAAATACTTTTACAACTTTGAAAATTATTCAAGCAATTGTAAGAATTCAGATAGTTGCACAGACTTTGTTTTATGTAAGCCATGTTGTGTTGTTCTCCCAGGTCCTGCTCTTTTATGACCAGAGCTATGGGATCCATTATGAATACACCATGTCTCTGAACACAAGTCTGGTCAGCAGCAGTCAGACACCCAGTAAACCAGATTATCTTTATATCTGGGCACACAGCAACTGGCAGGATTGTCCTGTCCCATGTGGAATAGGTAAGAAACTCTTCAACTGAGTGGAACAATCTTGGGTTAGGTTTAGGGTTGCCATGCCAAACATGTTTTTGTTTTTATGTAGAACATGTGACCTGTCAATGTGAATGATCTGTGTTCTATGATGATTTTAGAGCAAACCGTGGAGCCCAAAAGCAGCATGAAAGAAAACCAAAGTGCTTACAGTTTAATGAATTAACATATTTTCTCTGAGTAGGAGAGGCATTTGAAACATACTTCTTTACAGCTTTGAGGTGATCTGGTCCACCATCCGGCGTCTCGGGGGTGTGGGGGTGATTCGCCACCAGCACTGTTTATGGTGGGGATGGTGCACTGCTGACCTCAACTCGGGACGTTGTGGGTCGGTATGCAGAATACTTCGAAGACCTCCTCAATCCCACCAGCACATCTTCCCATGAGGAAGCAGAGCCTGAGGACCCTGGGTCAGACTCTCCAATCTC